CGACCCGCGACCCGCGGCCCCGCGAGGGGCACGCGCCCGGCAGCCTCAGCTGAGACTGTGGAGACTCGGCGGGTGGACCCCCGCTGGCCTCCGCGTGCGGCAAGGTCTCCCCGTGAACTATTATGTCTCCGGGCAGAGGTCACCCACACTGAACCGAGGCGGCCAGTCCAGGACCTGATGGCGAGCTCGGGTCCCGCCGAGCCCTGTGTGGTAACCAAGCAGCGGGGGCCCGCGAGGTTCTAGAAGTCGTCAAAGAACTCTGCTGCATAAAAGCATCGGTCCCTGGCTCAGATATGCTGACCGCATTCGATGTTAGGACAGGAGGTGACATTCCACTGATCTTTGTTTATTTGGGCACATGGATGTCTGGAGGGACTGAAGCGCACATCTTCACGCTCCCTTCTGCTAGCCTTAGGACTGGGTCAAGGAAAGGACTGACTGCTGGCACCTAGTCCAAAAAGGCAAGAGCAGGCCACACTCAATGGATGCTTGGACCTAGATAAGCTTCGCTGTTAGCACTAATCCCAGAAAAGCACTAGTTATCTTATAAAATGATTACAAGAGAAATAGATAAGCAGTTAAAGACTCAGTATTGATCAATGTATTTTGAAGGTGCCGGGATAATGCATGCGTTCATAGCCTGAAGCACAGGGAAGTTCCTAGTTATCAAGGCTCAGTTAGACCCCAGATTAAAATAGAAAAATCTATTGAAGATGAAAAGGTGTATTAAATGGTGTCTTTTGTGTAAAAGGTTTACAATTTAGAAAAATTTTCCACAAAGTACCTTGTGGAAAAAACAACAGCAAAGCTCTGGCATGCATCCAGAAAAAGAAATGTAATGCAATGATTAGTTTAACAAAGCAAGAGTATTGCAGAAGGGTGTGGTGAAAGATAAGTCCTAAAAGATGTGGGGAAAGATACTGAGAAAATGCCAAGTAGGTCTGAGCCTAATTGAGTTGATAAGGATCTATAGTAAAGATACATCTGTGCTGGTGGAGAAATTGACTATCCACAAAGGAGGAAAAAAAATCACCTGCCATTACTCACAAAAATCAACTCCAGATGGAGAAGTTGTAAGTGGGAAAGGTGAAATACTAGACTTTGGTAGGTAAATAGAGGTGTATATGTGTGTTCCTAACTTTGATGGTCAGATGTGTTCATAAAACCAGTCTTAGGAACATCATAAAACA